TACACAATTTTTTAAAAAAACTTTTAAAAAATTACAGAATTTTAAAATTTATTTTTTAAAAATAAAATAAAAAATTACATATACATATATACACTAATAATATATATATATACATATCCATATATACATTGAATATGTATATATATGTAAATATGTATGTATATGTGTATAAATATATATATATATATACATACATATTCATATGCATATATATACATATATATATATACATTTATACATACATATATACATATGTGTTCTCCTTTATACATACATGTATATATATATGTATGCATGTATGTATGTATGTATAAATGTATATGTATGCATATGAATATGTATGTATATATATATATATATATTTATACATATATACATACATATTCACATATATATATACATATTCAATATATATATATATATATATATATATGTATATATATGAATATGTATATATATATATATGTGAAGATGTATGTATATATGTATATATATTATTTGTGTATATATGTATATGTAATTTTTTATTTTATTTTTAAAAAATAAATTTTAAAATTCTGGAATTTTTTAAAAATTTTTTAAAAAATTGTGTATATATGTACAAGTGTGTATATATGTAAATGTATAAGTGTGTCTATATATATATATGTATATAATTATGTATGTAGATGTATATTTGTATATATGTATATGTATATAATTGTGTATAGATATAAAAGTGTATATATATGTATATGTAATTTTCTATTTTATTTGTGTATAACGGGTTGGATATGCCGACGTGGCCGTTTACCACCACGTGGCGAAACCTGGAATTTAGATATGTATGGGTTCTTGACTTGGGCCTTTTGTTCATGTCTCGGGCTGGGCCTCAAGTAATAATATGGGCCCACTTGTTTTCTGACACCCATGCTTTATAATTTATTTTATGAAGCTACTTCCTCTATAAAAACGCAACAAGGACACTTTCGCCAAATACTAAACCAAGAAAACAAGAAAACAACCCACCACAAAGAAAAGGCATGGCCCCTTCCCAGCAAGAAACACAAACCAAACCTAAAACCCACGAGGAAGACGAGGAAACGTTCGCAAACGCCATGCAGATGGCGCTTGGCTCGGTGTTTCCGATGACCATGAAAGCCGCCGTGGAGCTCGGCCTCTTCGACATCTTAGCCGCGGCCGGCGGTTCTGACCTGTCGGCGGCTGAGATAGCAGCCAGGCTCAGAAACTGCACCAACCCAGACGCACCTAAAATGGTGGAGAGGATCTTCCGGCTCCTCGTTAGCCACGGCGTGATCCGTTGCGCCGTTTCCGACGACGGGGAGAGGCTGTACGGTCTAACCGCTGTGGCAAAGTACTTTGTGACCGGTGAAGACGGAGTCTCGCTCGGTCCGCTCATGGTCCTCCTTCAAGATATCATCTATCTGCAGAACTGGTAACGGTCACATTATATCCTTTGGTACATCTGTTTTCTTGCAACGAGTCGTATCTATTACGTTATGAAACTGTCGGTACCTTCATAATACTCTATTAGATGATATAACAAATTTGTTATATCCTCTCTACTAAAATAGAAAATAAAAATAGCATATTGTATAAACCCTAAGTTGTTCCTTTTTTGTAGGACTCATCTCAAAGATGCAGTATTGAAAGGAGGAATACCATTCAACACGAGCCATGGGATGCATGTGTTTCAGTACCCAGCCACGGACCAGAGGTTCAACGAGCTCTTCAACAGTGGCATGTTCCACCACACTTCGGTCGTTCTCAAGAAGGTTCTTGAGACATACAAGGGCTTTGACCAAGTCAACCGCCTCGTCGATGTCGGCGGCGGTGTCGGCGTCACTATTAACATGATTGTCTCCAAGTACCCTCACATCCATGGCATCAACTACGACTTGCCCCAAGTCATTCAAAACGCCCGTACCTATCCCGGTACTGCTTTTTCTTTTATTTCATAAATTCAACCGTATCATATGAAACTATAGTGTATAACTTATTCTATTCTCTTTGCCAAATATCAATAGGAGTGGAGCATGTGGCGGGTGACATGTTTGAGAGTGTTCCAGAAGCAGATGCTGTTTTCATGAAGGTATGTGTCTGTATGTACATTTCATTTTTTTAGTTATTATAAAACTCCTAATATTACAGATCCTAACTCAGTTTCATGGGGTTTTTTTTTTAGTTATCATAAAAACGTGTATTATACCATGTATTTATACGTCTAATGGGCGAAAATAATAAATATTCAGTGGATAATTCATGATTGGGACGATGAGCACTGCCTGACGATGCTGAATAACTGCCACAAAGCGATACCGAAGACAGGGAAAGTGATAGTGATGGATGCGGTGGTTCCGGAAGTTCCGGAGGCAACCTTGTCGGCTCAGGACATATCTCACATGGATCTCTTCATGATGACGCAATTGCCCGGCGGCAAAGAACGTACACGGCAGGAGTTTGAATCTCTGGCTGCTGACTCTGGATTCGCTGGCGTTAAATTCGTTTGCTCTGCTCGTAATTTTTGGATCATGGAGTTCTTCAAGTAGTTACATTGTTTCAATCCGACATTGTTGCTTTTCATTCTCATGTCTGTGTTCCTGTCTCCGCCTGCATTCGCGTTTGTATTTTGTTTTTTTTTTGTTTTTAGTTCTGATCTGATCCGAGTTGTTCAATCTGTTTTTGTGGTTTTGGCAACGATGTTCTAGTATTTGTCTCGTTGTGTTGGATCCGAATTATCAGTTTTTAATAACGTGGGAACCCGTAGTCATTGCATTTTAAGTGCATACTAGGTAAACCATGTTCTCGTGTAATAGTTTGAAAATCACACGAGAGATGTAAAACAATCTAAATTGTTCATACCTTACATGCTTACAGATGAATAGATTAAGAGAATTCGAATTTCAACCTTAAAATTGAATGGCATAGTATTCAGCCAATTCATCGAGAGTTTTCCTCAATTATCGTTTTTAATTAATGTATAAAGTTTGTTCGATATTTTGAAGTTTTCCGAGAATTCTTCTGTTGCAATGGGACTTATAAATGAGAGTAGTCGTAATATATACATTTTTTTATAATCCGAAAGTTTATCGTAATTTTGATCTAATTATATTTTCTAGAAGATCGACGAGTGAATGTCTCTCTAACGCTTGGATTAAATCTATGATTAGAGTATGATTTAATATTCTCTTAGTAATAGACCATCCAAGGTTGGTGTAATATATACATTTGATATAACTAAAAGTCTTATATACGACGCCCCTTTAAAGAAAATTGTAAAAAATTAAAATAAAATACCCTTGTACCAAATGCTAGTGTACAATATACAAAGATAAGTCTCCTCCTAGGCTATATATGAGATTTCATGTTTCCCATTTGTTTAGGCAGGACGCCTAATAATTAAACATCTACTTGTTTCTTAATTATTTTTCCTTTCACAAAAGAACGTGTAAACACATCGTATGGTGCAAATAATACAAGTCCAAGATAATTAATGGATCCCTCTCGTATTTTAGGCAGATTCTGTAGTTTTTGTGGTTAACTGATCTCAATAATATTATTTATTAATCCATGTAATTAACTGTGTGGTTTTTAGTATTAATTCCAATAACGAAAGTATTTGTGCATCTTGATTCAATGCCGTCCAGTTCTGGTCGCAGTATCTTCCACGTATAATAGAAGGCTGCGCGCTTATAATAATATTGTTTTTTTTTGGTAAATGGTGATTGCATTAATTATATAAAACAGTACAAATAGAGTTTACGTAGAAATAAAAAAAACCCAAAAATTAGATAGCGAATTTTGTAATTGTATCAAATCAACACATTTTGTAATTTCTTCTCCCATGAATGACGTAGACGATTAATTTCAAAAGACCGAAAGGTGCAACCTAAAGAATCTTAGGTTTACCCCCAACATGTCGTGGGTGAGTGATCAAGTTTGAGATGAGAGGTAATTTCATCTTAAGATTGAGTTTTCGATTCCTGACTGGTGGGGAGGGATGTAATTTTTGACTCTATACGGTTCATATACATAGGTTATTCCCTGACCGAAGATTTACCTAGTCAGCGTTCCGAAAATCAGCAGCTAGAGGTCATCTGTTATATATATATAAAAAAAACTTAGGTTTATTTACAAGTGTGCCATAAAGAATCCGTGTGTTATTTTATCCCAAACCAGGATAGTGACCGTCATCATGTCGAACAAACGCGTTCGAGTTATAGACATTATTCGATTTGCTAAAGTTGTATACGTATGTATATATACATATATATATGAAAAGACCGACTTTTGCAGCATAGAGATTTGTAGATTACGGTATTATAATCTCTCACGAACTTCATCGTAGAAACATGTGCAACGAGAATAATTACCGATAAAGCTGAATATATATATATATACATATATGTAGGAGCAAACTCTTTCGGCGATGCCTGCATGGTTTTTTTCATCAGATGCGGGTTTCTGTTGGGTTTTGCAATTAAGTTTTCGAGTTTTTTTTCTTCTAAATATGTAATTAATTTTTTATTTAATGGTGTTTCAGGAGAAATATGGATTGGTGTTTGGTTGCTGAGAAATTCTGGGAAAATGATAGAAAGAGGAGAGAGGGAGAGAGCGAGGCTGGAGATGAATTCTGCCATATATATATATATATATATATATA